AGAACCAAGAGACTTATGTAATGGTACAAGATCCCAATGATGAATGTAACTGTATTTTATACCTAAAATGTACCAATAAAGTTAATGGGGGAAAAAAAAAAGAAATGATAGGACCTATATGTGGTGGCTAGAGAGCATTCATATGAGTGGTAATGACTGGGTTGGTTGGGGAAAGTTGAAATCAAAGCTACTGGTTGCACAAAAGCCCACAAAGATGTTCTAGTCTCTAGATTCAACACTCAAAAAAATGCAGGTTACGGATGGACATATTGAATAATACCATAGGATGTTCACAGAAAAATAAAGAATGTGGACAATTCTACAGGAAAAATGGTCTTGTTTCCTTAAAAATAAATAGCAAAGAATAAAGTGGATATAGAAGAAACTGTTACAGAGTAAGATAAAATTAAAATTTAATCTAGAATTTGTATGGATCCAGATTAGAAAAATTAACTGTAAAATTCCCTTATGGGAAAATCTGAATATTGACTGGCCAGCCTTATGATGCTACTTTTAATTTTGAGATGGTATAATTGGTGCTGCATTTATGTTTGTAAAAACACTTACCTTATGTTAGAGCAACAGTGAATTATTTCTGAGTGAGATTTATTGAGTTTTATAGATATTGTGCTTTTTACAAATTCAAAGTTTGGGGCATACTTGTATCAAGCAAGTCCACTAGCACTAACAGTAAATGCTGACTTTGTACCTATGTGCCACATTTTGATAACTTTGACAATATTAAAACCCTTTTCTCTACAAATGTATCTTTTATGGTGTCCTATAATCAGAAATCTTTGATGTTATTGAGGTAACTTTTTTAAGGCACCTTGATCAGGCTTCCCTAGTTCCTGAAACAGAACAATATTGAAAATAGGCCAAATAAGGGCCCTACTGTGGTCTGTGGGCTTTTAAGTGAAAGGAAGTCACATGTCTCTGACTTTAAATCAAAAGCTAGAGATGATTAAACTTACTAAGAAAGGTATGTCAAAAGCCAGAATAAGCCCAAAGCTATGCCTCTTGTCCCAAATAGTGAAATTCTGACTACACAGGAGAAGTTCTTGGCGAAAATTAAAAGTACTAAGTCAGTGAACACATGAGTGATTCTAAAGCTAACCAGAAGTATCGCTGATATAAAGTTTTAGTGGTCAGAATAGAAAATCAGACCAGCCCCAATATTCCTGTCAGCCATAGCCTAATCTAGGAAAAGGTTTTATATTCTTTAATTTTCTGTTGCCTGAGACAGGCTTTCTTTCAGGCTTAAAGAAAGCACTCATCTCCCTAAAATCTAAGTGCTGATGTAGAACCTGCAGCAAGTTATACAGAAGCTTTGACTTTGATAAAGATGGGTGCATTAAACAAAGATTTCAATGTAGATGAAACAACTTTCTATTGGACTAAGAAGCTATCTAGGACTTTAATAGCTAGAGAGGAGAAGTCAAGACCTAAGCAAATCTTCAAACAGGCTGACCTAGCTTGTTCGGGGATAATGCAGCTAGTATATTAATTTGAAGGTAATGTTCATTTACCATCTTGAAAATCTCAGGGCTCTTGAGACTATACTAAGTCTATTCTGCTTCTGCTATAATAGAACAGCAAATCCTAGATGACAACATATCTGTTTATAACAAGGTTAAATGAATATTTGAAGCTCACTGTTCAGACCCACTGCTTAGGGAAAAAAAACTCCTTTCAAAATACTACTGTTCATTGGCAATGTATTTCATCACGTAAGAGCTGTGTTGGAAATGTACAATATAGTTAAACTTGTTTTCACATCTACTATCATAGCACCCATTCTGTATCCCATGGATCAAGAAGAAATTCTGACTTTCATGTACTACTATGATTGTTGTTGTTATTATTATTATTTGGTACCAGGGATTGAACCTTCACACTGAGCTACATTCTAAGCCCTTTTAATTTTTTTTTGAGACAGGATCTCTCTAAATTGCTGAACTGCCTAAGGCTGGGCTTGAATTTGTGATTTTCCTGCCTCAGCTTCCCAGAGTGGTAGGATTATAGCTGTGTGCCATTGTGCACAGCTCAAGTTTTATTAGTTAACAAGTACCTTCTATAGACTACAGTTTTACAGATAGTGATGCCTCTGATGGGTAAATGGAAAATCTTCTGAAAAGGAATTACTATTCTAGATGCCCTTAAGAGTATTTGAAGCAGGCATGGTGGTGCATTTGGGTAACCCTAGTACTCTGGGAGGCTGAGGCAGGAAGATACAAATTCAAGCCCAGCCTGCACAACTATTATGACTTAAAAAGATAAAAAGGGGGGAGGGGGCTGGGAATATAGCTCAGTGTAAAGGTGCTGGGTTCAATCCCTAGTTCTGAAAAAAAATTTTTTTTAATTGTGTTTTGCAAGAGGATGTCAAGATGTCAAGAAGAACATGAGTTTGGGAGATGAGATATTGATTCAAACTACTTTAAAGGGTGAGATGTGGTAGAAATGGTAAGAAAACTAAATTAGAAGTGGAACCAGAAGATGTGACTGAATTATTGGAATCCCAAAATAATACTTTAACAGATGAGGACTTTCTTCCTATAGATGAGCTCATGAAGTGGTTTTGTAAGATAGAACCTACTCCTGGTGCAGATGCGGTAAACATTATTAAAATGACAAAAGATAATTTACAACAATACACAAACTAAATTGATAGAGCAGTGGCAGGATTTGAGAGGACTGAGTCCAATGCTGAAAGAAATTCTACTGTGGATAAAACAATACCAAATAGCTTTGCATGCTGCAAAGAAATGTTCCATAGAGAGAAGAATATGTGCAGCAAAATTTACTGTTTTATATTAAGAAATTTCCACAGTCCCCCCAAACCCTAGCAACCACTACCACCTCAATCAGTCAGCAGCCGTCAGCATCTAGGCAAGACCTTTTATCAGCAGAAAATTTACAACTTCCAGAAGCCCACATTAAGTATTTCATTAACATTTTGAGCAAAAAAAAATTTAAAATAAGTTATATATATATGTAATTAGGTTAAATTAGGTCTATTGTTTTCTTTAGATATAATGCTACCGCACAGTTAATGAACTACAAAATAGAATACATAGAACTTTTACATGTACCAGAAACCAAAACTCTCTTTAACTTGTTTTACTGTGATATTCACTTCAATACGGTGATCTGGACTCAAATTGCACAATATTTCTTAGCTATTCCTATAATACAATAGAGTGATGATGGGGTTGGGGAGAGACAAGAATTGGGGGAAAGCAAATAAAACAAGATTGGCTATAAGTTGATAATTGATAAGACTGGGTGGTTTGGGGAGGAGGCTTTTGATGTTCTTTTTTTTCTTTAATCTTGTGATTGACATTTTCACCATAAGGGACTCAAGAACAAATCAAAATTTCTGAAATATACTGATAAAAATTGAAAGCTGATGAAGAATTAAATGGATTTTTTTCTTTATACTGATGACTTTGGCTGGGGACAAAGCTCAGTGGTGGAGTGCTTACCTAGCACATACAATGCCCTGCGTTTGATCCCTAGAACCATCAGAAAGAGGAACTTACCAATGAAGGAAATATAAAACAGTGGACAAGTATACATTTATTTGTTCATTCATTCACATAGTATTTATAAAAACTCAGCCATTGCTAGATAGGAAGAATGAAGAAAACCAGTTTTAAGGAAAGTACACAATTCAAAGAAATATGTTCCTTGAAAAAAAATACTGTAAGATATACAGATGCTTATTGATTTCTGATGAGGTTTTATCCTAAAAAAACCATGATGATTGGAAAGTACTACAAGACCAAACTGCACCTAATTCACCTGATGTTTGCACAGCATAACTCACCGACAGTCCCCTTCGGAACACCGCTTGTTTACCCTTCATGACTGTGCAGCCGGCTGGAAGCAGAAGCGTTTATCAGGAAGAGTACCAGTTCACGTGTTGCCACCCTGGGAAAAGATCAAAATTTAAAACTTGAAGTATAATTTCCAATGAATGCGGATCAATTTTGGTACCATCATAAAGCTGAAAAATTTTAAGTGGAACCATTGTAAGCCAGGGACTGGTTATACAATAAGTTACTGATATTAAACATTAAGAGATACTGGCATAGCATCTAGGGCTGTACTACTTCGTATGGTAGCTACCAGCTACTTTTGGCTGTTGAAAGTGACTAGCAAAGAATTTAACTTTTCATTTTAATTTTGATTTATTTCAATTTAAAACCTTAAACAGTATGAAACACTTGTAAAATGACTATTATTTTGGTAGGGTTACATTTCACTTGAACTTTTGTATCATGTGAGATATTGTTGTATTTTACTGTACATATTGGGAACAATCATCATTTCTAGTATTACACATAAACCTATCACCAGTCCAGTTGGTGTCTATGGATTGACTGGTATTTTGAATGGTATTCATCTGTTCATTGATAAGTTTATAATGTGTTTATTTCAATATTTCATGCAGATGCAGGAATAACAGCAATACTTATGTAACCTTAATTAACAAATATATTGAAATATTTATTTTAACTATAAAATAAGCAAATAACTTTTCTACTTTAAAACAAATATGAAAGTTATGATTCACTGCAGCAAAAGGATCTTTTTCTGTTAAAAACTCTCAACAAATTAAATATAGAAGAAATGTACCTCAACCTAGTAAAGACCATATATGAAAAACTCACAGCTAGCATCATAGGCAGTGGGTGAAAAGAGAAAAACTCTTCCTTTAAGATTAGAAGCAAGACAAAGATGTTCACTCTCGCCACCATTATTCAACATAGTACCAAAACTCCTAGGCTGGGTGGTTAGTCAAAAGAAACCCAAGAAAGAAAGAAGTTAAATTGTTTCTGTTTTCAGATGATAGACTTTTACTATAAGAACTCTAGAGATTCTAAAATCTGTTAAGATAAATAAATAAAGTTGCAAGACACATAATTAGCATGCAAAAATAAGCAGTGTTTCTATGCACCAATCACAAATCTGGAAAGCAAATCCAGGAAAAACCCATCTACAATAGAAATAAAATTATAAAATAGGAATAAATTTCACTAAAACGGTAAAAGATATGTATAGTGAAACCATAAAACATTGATGAATAAAATAAAGACAAATAAACAGAAAGATAGCTGTGTTTATGTATTGGAAGAATTAATAATGTTAAAATACCCATTCTGGCTAAAGCAATCTGCAGACATAATGTCTACCTCTAGCAAGATTCCAATGGAATTTTTTCACAGAAGTAGAAAAAATATAAAATGCACAAGAAATAATAAAAGACCCTGAGTAGCCAAGGAAACTTGAAGAAAAAGTACAAACAAGCACTACTAGATTTCAAACATATAATAAAGAAAGCTACAATAATTGACACAGAAATATTGGCATAAAAGCAGACATCCAAACCAATGAATGAAACAAAATAGAGAACTCCAAAATAAATCTGCTCATTTGCCATTAATTGATTTTTAACAAGGATATAAGAAACCCAGAATAGAGAAAATACAGTATCTTCCATAAATGATGCTGGGAAAACCAGATATCTATATGCAGAAGAATGAAATCAGACCCTTATCTCCTAGCACATACAAAAGGGAGGTAGATTTTGTGGCAATGAGAAGGGGACCTAGGGTTGGAGGAGACAGAAGGGAGGTGAGGGGAAGTGAGAAAGATAAAGGTGCACTACGTATTTTCCCCAAGATGAATGTAATTGTTATTATCAGAAACATACACTTATTTTTGAAACCCCAAATCAAAGGGGATCAGGGAAGATGGGAAGAGGAAGAAGGAGTAAAAATATACATGGACAAATTTCCAAGATCAAAGTAATTATCATGTATTGGAAACACATGCTAAACAAACAAATATACGAATAAACTGAAAGTCAAAATAAAGACTTAAAACAAAAGGCCAGAAACTATAAAACTACTGGAAGAAAACTTACGGGGAAAACTCCATGACACTAGTCTGGACAGTGAATTTCTAGAAATGAGATCAAAAGCACGGGAAACAAAGGAGAAACTAGACAAATGGAATTACATGAAAGAAAAAGCTTGGGGACAGCTAAGGAAATAATCAACAGAATAGAAAGACAAACTACAAAATGAGAGGAAATAGTCGCAAAAACTACATATTATAAAAGATTAATATATACAATGTATATGGAACTGAACTCAATAGGCAGGAAAGAACCAATTTAAATAGGGACAAAGCACCTGAATAGACATTTTTCAGAAAAAAGCAAAACAAATGTCCAGCAAATATAGGAAAAACCTCAATATTATTGATCTTCAGGGAAATGCAAATTAAAATCACAATAAGATGTTACTGCACATCCTTTAGAATGGCTATAAAGACAAGTGTCAATGAGCATATGGAGAAGGAGACTCCTTGGGCACTACTGAAATGTAAATTAGAACATCCATGATGGAGAACAATATAAACTTTCCCTAGAAACCTAGAAATAAAGCTACAATGTGATTCAGCAATTCCACTATTTTGTATAGTCTAAAAAAGAGAATGAAATCAGTATATTGAAGAGATACCTGCAATCCCACATTCATTGCACCCCTATTCACAATACCCAACATATGGAACCAACCCAACCTGAGTCCACCAAAGGGTAAGAGGATAAATAAAAAGTTCTCAGCATACAGCACAGAATAGTATTTAGCCTTAAACAAATAGAAAATCTTGTCACTTGTGACAACATAGATAAGCCTGAAGAATATGATGTTAAGTGAAACAGCCTAGGCACAGAAAGTCAAACACTAAGACCTCACATGCAGATTCTACACAATGTGAACACTTAGAAGCAGAGCATAGAACAGTGGACACCAGGGGCGGGGGGCAGAGAAGGTGAATTGAGGAGATGTTTTTCAAAGGATAGAAAATTTTTGTTAGGTAAGGAAACTAACTTCAAGAGATGTATAACATGGTTACTACTATGCTAATAATAATCTATACTAACTTCAAAATTTCTACAAATATATTTTAAGTAAATAAATAAATTTTGAGGTAACATACATATTAATTAGTGACCCTGGAATGTATACATATTTCAAAGCAACATGTTGTACATTACAAGAATGCATGATTTTTATCCCTCAATTTTAAATAAAGAAGAAAAAGACTGGCTTGTAACAATTCTAAAATAACAGAACCTACTTGGAATAGGTGAATAATTTATCTAATTTTAAAATTTCAATATATTATCTAACGATTTTCTCTTTGGAAGGGCATTATGGTTAATGGAATGACATCAAAATATCATTAAAATCCACACAGTACTGAATCATGAACATTTAACAGTCCCAATCCTTTTCCTTACATGGTCTGCCATTCAATCTCAAAAGGAGATTTAGCTGCTCTTACATGGTTCTGATTTCTCTCCTGAAAAAAAATTTCTGCAGCATAGCAAAATGAAAAAGTTGAGAGAGAAAGAAACAGAGAGAAACAGAGAGAGACTGAGAGACAGAGAGACAAAGACAGACAGGCACCAAGAGAGATGCTTTGAATTTTGAAGCAGAATCTAAAAGAACTGTCATAAATACAAGAGTCACAACCAGATTTTGGAACTTTTGAAAGAAATAAAAGACCACCACTTTAATGATCCTAAATTCTTTTCCAATGTTCACTGGTTGAGCCATGGAAGACTTCTAAAAATATTTACTGTACTGTTACCTCCAATTCAAAATTTTCTTAAAACAAAAGTAAAGTACTTGCTAAATTTTCAATAATCAAAGAAAAAAACTTCAATATATTTTAGGATTGTTTTGTGCTGCATACAAATAAGCTATATTTAAAACTTCAAATAAAGGAAACATTTATTTGTGAGTGAACTAGAGAAGTACTAGAATTAATTTTGAAATTAAGACTTTTTAAAATGCATACCAGTAATACTGACTTTATAATTTTTCTAACATGCATTAAGTCCATGATGTACTCTGGTATGTAAACTGGCTGCAGCACTACAAGAAAAATATTTTAAATGCTGTGTTCATATGATCAATTTACAATTGCCTTTCAATTTATACAATTCCTTTTTGAATTCTCTTTTAATAAGTACAAGTTGACATCAGTTAATGAATGTACTTAATTTGATAGGTGAAGTTTTAAAACTACTGTGCTTTGCTTAACAAAATCAAGCCCATT